AGCGCATGCTCTGTTGAGATGGTTGCAAGGCCAACCAGCTTCTCCTGTGTCATCGTGGAGCGTAGATGTGTTTTTATTAACTTCAGCTTGGAGAAACTGTGTTCTCCACTGGCAACTGTTACAGGAAATGTTAGAAGTATGTGCAGAGCAACAAAAGCATTTGGAAAGAGGGTGATCATATTTGTGAACATATATTCCAGAATAGCCTTTAGAGTTGATCCTGCTGAAATGTATCTTGAAAGGGATTTCAGTTCATCACCTAAATCACTTGCATCAATATCGCGCATGTCATCATGTGTCACTGTCTCTAGTGCCCTGCATTGCTGGTGTAGGTTTTCTTCAGGTATAGTGAGGCGTTTTGGAATATCATATAACATCCCAAATATACTGCTGTGTTCCTTGAGCTGCATGAAATGTTCAACTGACTGTTTTGCACAATCTAGCACCTGGTTAAAGAATTCAACTTTGAATTGTTGTTTGAGGTCTCTTATGGGATTATCCCGTGCCTCGTAATCAAAAGGTAGTCTTCTTCGGTGACTCTTGTATTCTTGAATGGGTGGGAAAATAGCTTCAGTGTGAAATTCTTCTGCCAACTTCTGTGCACTATTCAGAACATTTTGAAACCTCTCATCTGACCAGTAAGACTGTAGGGTATGACTTGCTTTGTCCAGTTGTTCCATTGCTCCAGATATATCTGGGTCAACACCTTGGAGTCTCTTGCTTACAACATTTATTTCAAACAGTATATCATCTATCTTGGTGTTTGATAGGCTTTATCGTCTCCACTCGACTTTCCCCATCGTGTGGCACTCAGTGGTTTCAGTGTCAGAGAAGATGTTCCCAGATGTTACTTCAAAATTTGCCATCAATGAGTTGATGCAGAGAAAAATACATAGATGCTTTGAACTACATTAAAAAATTCAGCAGCCTCACTAGAAGCTAATGCTGCATCACTGACCATCAAGTTCAATGCATGAGAACTGCATGAGACAAAAAAAGCTCGAGGGTTTAACTCTCGGATCCGTGTCTGCACTCCTCTGTTCTTTCCTCTCATGTTGGCACCATTATCGTACCCCTGACCTCTTGTGTCAGCTATCGCAATTCTTAAATACCTTCCAGATTTTTAAGAAGCACATTTGTCATACCAGCTCCTGTAGTATCATCAATGTCAATAAATTCTAGAAAATGCTCTGACAGTAACCATTGCAGGGACATTTTTACTAGGTTCTGTTGTTGTTACAAAACACACCATTAAAGTCATTTGTTCCGTATGGCTGATGTCAGGTGTGCAGTCCAGAATAACAGAGAAATATCTTGCTGACTTCAGATCTGCTACAATCTTCTGTTTGACTTTTGTTGCCAGTAACTGTATGATCTCACTTTAAATTGTTTTTCCAAGGTAGTGGTGTATGTACATTTCTTGGGTGGTGACTCTTCTTAGATGCTCCTGGAGTACAGCATCAAACTCAGCCATCAGCTCCACAATTTTAAGGACGTTTCCATTATTTGGCACATACAGCTGATCTGAAGTGCCATGCAGTGCTAGGTTTTGGGCAGCAAGCATTCTCACAATGGCAATGAGCCTTTTTGGAACATTTTGCCAGTAAAGAGACTCTTATGCAATCTTCTCTTGATGCCGATCATCTGTGGTGGCCTTTAACCTTAGTCTCATCTCAAGCTCTTTCCACCTATGGAATGCTCTGGTGATTTGCTGCCTTCTCATGGCATGCCAGGTTTCTAGCCAGATTTTTCTAGTCCTTTGTTCCCGTAGAATGTGTCTGGAACATTAGACTGGACGAGTTTGCCACAAAAACAGTATGCAGCATTCTGGGTTTTTGAGTACATAAGCCATGGCCTCTCCACTTTGTCACCATTGGGAATTTCACACCAGTAATGTGTTGGATGGAAACTTCTATTTTCATTGTCTTTGGGGAACATGACGTTTTTCACTTGCTGTGGCCCATGCAGTACAAGGAAGTCCCTCGGGCTACTGCTCAAGTGGGTCCACAGTCCTGGATCATCTAGACTTAAGGAACTAAACTCAGTAGCAGCTGTTTCTTGCACCTCCACCACACTCTTCTCTGATCTACACTTTTCTTCAGGAACGTGCAACATGGTTACATCCATTTCAGATGGAGATATGGATGCTGCAGTAACTGCCAGGTCACCTGCACGCTGACTAACTGGAAGATGAGGCATCTCCTCACCACTCAGATCCTCACTGGGGCTGGAAGGCTCACCGTAACATTTGTGTCTGTATCTCAGGAGAGCTCCTTCCTGCTTAGATAGAAAAGCTTCTTTTGCTTTCTTTCTTTTTCTGAATGCTGCCCCAGAGGGTCGTTTTCTTCTTTCACTCATGACTGCTGTTCTGTGCCAGCAATAGTGGCTCTCAACACTCAGTTAAAGGGGACAAATAAGCAGGCTGGTAGCAGGGCCTGAGTGAGGGAGGATATCAGTATCTTAAGGGCCTAACTGGTTCCTACTACTTCAGTTGACTGCCTATTCTACTCAAGTGGTTCAGGGAAGCAGCAGAAAACAGGAAGCTCCCCGAGAAGCTGGTGTTAATCAGTCCAGGCTCCTGGGGGTGCTAGAGAGGTGCATAGAGGCTCTTCCTCCTCTCTCTCCCTGCAGCTGCTGCTGCTGCTTTCTGTTATTCCCTCTCACCTTTTCTCCTGCCTGCCTCTTGTGCCCTCCTTCCTCAAGCACAGCACTCCACTATCTCTGTGCATCGAGCAGAGATAATACCAGCAGCAGACAATTTTCTACACTCTAGGACCTAGTGTCACTCCCCCCCCCCCCCCCATAGTCTGGCACCGGAGGCGGCTGCCTCAGTTCGCCTCATGGTAAGGCCAGCCCTGCCTCTGAGTCACAGTACACTGGGCACAGGTCCTGGCACCGTAAGGGTTTGTTGTACTCCAGTACTGAGCAACCCCCAATAATTACATCTGCTTTCTAGCTCTCACTTATAAGCAATCTGCAAAGAGGGGGGAAATGTGTTTGTTCCTCTTTTTGTTAACTTATGATTTGTGAAAGCCCTTTTCCCCACAAACAGAATGGATATGTGAGTGGTGGAGTTGGGGTCTTATTTTTTAGATTAGTAGTTTAAGTCTTCTCTACCTTGGAAGACTCAGTGGACATGATTTATGGTCAAGCTACAACCCCTTTATACTGGTTCTGCCAGAGCAAAGGTACTATAAACCTGGTGAATCCAGCCCTTGGGGTATTCCCCCAATATAAAGAGGGCATAGAGCTGATATACAACAGCTCTAGGCTACATTCTACCACCCTCCTTATTTCTATGTAGAGAGGAAAAAGAACACCCAGGAGGATGTGGAACACAACTGTTGCATCTCAGTTCTGGTTCCAAAATCCATTCACTAAGAAGCAGAGAAGACATTGCAGTTTAGGGGTAATGGAGATGGTCAGACTTGTGCTATCTGCTGGAGCTGAAGGGGGCAATGTCATTTTTTCCTTTAATTTCCACAAATTAGTTAAAACTTGTCTACACTAGGAATACAAAGTACAATTTGCACTGTAGAAAGCTACAATGGTGCACATTAGACAGCATATTTCAGGTACACAATGTTCACATGCAGCAATTCCTGCAACTGCTGTGGACTGTTGCACCTATCCCACAGTTGTAGGGCATACCTGACTGTAATGCCTCCTACTGGATTAGGATGCTGCAGTACACCCTATCTCAGTTTCCTTTCTCTGGGAGCCAGTAATTCCACTTCAGGCATACTTGATTCAATAATACTCTCCTTATGACTTGGTGTGACAGGGTTGGGACTCACCACTGCAGCACCTCCGACTGGTCATCTCAGGGAATTGGTTCAATCCAGTAAAGCACCCCCTTCTGGTGGCATCCCACCTGTCATCTCACCTTTGGTTGGCCTGCAGACTCACATTGCTCCCAACATGCAGCATCCTCTTCTGGAACACTGCCTTCCGACAGTGTCCGTTTGTCCATTTGCACCCCCTTCCAGGGGCTGGATGACCCACAGTCCTACACCTTCAAGTCCAATCCCCATGGTCAAGGATCTGGTATAGTTTCAGCTGGCCACTCCCTGCAGCCAATAGCTGGGTGTACTGCCAAGGGGAACAAAGGGAAGGGGGGGACCCAGGCCTGCCCACTACTCTGAGTCCTGGTCCAGAGGCCCTCTAGCAACAGCCTCGCTGTCCTCCTTCTCCTTCCTCCTCTGTCTGTTCCTCTGGACCGCTTCCCCAACAGCCCTCCTTCCCACTAGGTCCTTTCCTACAAGGCCAGCCGCCTGGCAGGCTACGGAGTAGGACCTTCTCCCACTCTCCAAGGCTGCGCTGCGCTGCACATGGTGCTGGCCTCCCAGCTCCGGGCACAGACCTTCCCCTCTGAAGGCCTGGGACAGACTGACTGCTCTCTCCCTGAGCAGTCTTTTATATGGCTGAGCTGGGCCCTGACTGGCTGGTCCCAATCTGTTCTCTGATTGGCTCGCAACAAGCCCTTCTCTCATTGGCTGCTGGAATACGCAGGCGCTCTGGCCTGCCGCAGCCCACACTCTCCGGGCGTGGGGCCGCCGCCCCACCACACTTGGTTATTACAATAATCCTACAAAAAGTCCCAAATAAATAAAAGATACTTCTAGCTCTCAGAGTTACTTTGAAGTGTGCCCTTTACACTCAGTGCCCAGTCCCCTCATTTTCTCTCGGTCTTTAAATCCTCCTCATAGCAGGAGCCCCAGTTCTCCTCCTGGATCTGAGTAGTTCAAACAATTATTATCACCTATCTTGCTTCCTGGAGCAGGGTGGCAATTTCTTTCTGTGTATCTTCTCCATATGGCCGTAGGCCCAGCTCTCCTCCTGGTGGCAGGTAATTCAAACAATTATTATCCACCTCCTTATCAGGAGTTGCCAGCTCTCTTCCTGGTGCTGGGTTGCAATTTATTTCCCTCCACTGGCCCCACTTACTCCTTAGGCTCAGAGGATTTGGCTGCCTTCTCCTACTGGTGTCTGCTCCTTACTAAGTCAGGGACTGCACACTGCATGAGCTTTCTTATGCCCAGTGTCTGCAGGCATCTGCCTGCTATGTAGGAGGAGACCAGCATGCTGGCCCCTCCCTTCTCCCAACTCATTCCTTATTGCAGTGTTTCCCAATCAGTGTGCAGCAGATTTTTTGAGAAGCTACACTTGAGAGAACAAATAAACCTTCCCTTGCATTTTAATGAGTGTTGGAGCCAGATCGCTTTCTGTACTTTTGTTCTCCAGGACGAGGCCCCTCTCAAATATTATGCATGTGTCACATTCCATTCCTCAAAGCGAGGTTAAGATAGCAAATTTCAATTCTGCGGAGTAAAGGCAGGGGAGGGTGAAGTAAGGGGGGAAAGCTGCCTTCTGATTGGCCATCTGCCTCACTGCCTTGCCTTCTCCAGGGGCAGAACAGCCAACCAAAGCTCAATCTCCCTCTCCTTCCCCACTCCCCTCCTGTGAGCAACAGGTTGGCTCTGCTCCCTCCCTCCTATGCTAAAATGTAAGTCCCTGGAGCCACCCCCAAGCCTGGAAGGGAGTGGGGACCCCACTTCAGCCCCACAGGGTAGGGAAGGGGGAAGAACCCCGGAGAAGCAGAGTTGAGGGGTGGGAAGCTGGGTGGGCCAAACTGGTGGGGGGCAGAACTGGTGTGAGGTGGGGGCTAGGTGGGGATGGAGGCAGAACTGGTGGGGCCTGTGTGGTGCAGAATTGAGTGAGGTGGGGGCTGAACTGGTGGAGGGTGAGGACAGAACTGATGAGGGATGGGGCACAAGATTGATTTGGAGGTTGGGGGGCAGAATTCATTTCTGGGCAGGGATGGAAAGATGTGGGGGTGAAAACTCCTGCAAGAGGGGCCAAAATCCTCATGGCCAATACATTTCGGAGCATGGGCATCATTAACACACACACTCTCTCTCTTTCTCTGGGAATGGGCAGGGGCAGTTCAGCAAGCGTTAGAATGAAAAAAACAATATAATCTCTTTGTAAATAACCTCATGTTTAAAGGACAATTCCCTGACTTGTTGGGGTCTGACACATTTATTTTTTGATCTCTTGAGCTTGGCAATACTCTGAGTGGGACTTAATTAATTATATTGCATTTAAAAACAGTGGAGAAAATTACACACACTTGGGAAGACTATTTTGGGAATGAGAAGAAATGATTAATTATTAAGTGCTTGTCATCCAAAAATATTATTCTCAAGTGCATGTCACTTTCTTCACTGAGCATGCTTTTGTCCAGAGTTCTTATATTTAGCTTTAATGTTTGTTAGTTTCCACCACTGAAAATGTTAATTCTGGCACAAAAGACAGATCGCAATCTAATGTCAGCCGCCATGGTTCTTTTGATTTTGACCCTACTAGCCCTGTTCTGGATTGGCTCATGAATATTCATGAGATCATCTGGAGACAATTTGGTGGTGTGCCTCAAAATAAGTTAAAATATCCAGTTGTGCTATGGTAGAGGAAAGGTTGGGAACACTGCCTTTCTAGCCGGGTGAGAGAGGAGCCTTGCCCCACCCTCTCTGCAAGACTCCAAGTCCCAGACCACTAGGGTATGTCTACACAGCAAAGAATAACACATAGCTGTCTAGGGTTGCCAGGTGTCCAGTTTCCAACTGGAACGCCTGGGTGAAAAGGGACCCTGGCGGCCATTAAAAGTCTGGATGGCTGCCCGCAGCGGGGCAGGCAAGGTGCCTATCCAGCTCCGCATGGCTCCCAAAAAGCTGCCGACATCTCCCTCTGGCTCCTAAGCTTAAGGAATGGCCATGGGGGCTCTGCACACTGCTCCTCCCACCAGTGCCAGCTCTGCAGCTCCCATTGGCCAAGAACCATGGCCAATGGGAGCTATGGGGGTGGCGCCTGCAGGCAGGGGCAGTGTGCAGAGCTGCCTGGCTGCACCTCTGCCTAGGAGACAGAGGGAGATGATGGCAGCTTCTGGGAGCTGCCTGAGGTAAGCGCCACCTGGAGCCTGCATCCCAAACCCCTTCCCATGCTCCAACCCCCTGCCCCAGCCTGGAGCCTCCTCCTGCACCCAAACCCCTCATCCCTGGCCCCACCACAGAGCCTGCACCCCCAGCCCAGAACCCGTACCCCCTCCCATACCCCAACTCCCTGCCCCAGTTTGGAACCCCTTCCCACACTCTGAAACCCTTGCCCCCAGACCATAGCCCCCTCCTACACCCCAAACCCCTAATCTCTGGCCCCACCCCAGAACCTACACCCCCAGCCCAGAGCCTGCACCCCCAGTGCGTGGAAATTATAACTTGGGGCAGAAAGCTGTTGCATATCTCTCTCCACATTGAGGGAGGGGGCAAATTTTATGAACTTACACTGTACAGTTCCCTGGGTTTACACTCCAGACGGGGGTGTGCACTTGAGTATTGGGCAGTTCCTTAGCTGAGCCTACCCATGCCGAGGTGATCTAAGCATCTGCATGTATACCTGCAACTGGGTGTCTCCCTATCTGTATGTGTGCTGGTTAAATGCAGTCTGAAGTCTGAGGGAGGGCTTGGCTGGTTTGCCTTAATTTAAAGGGAGCTTGGGCTGGTGGGTCAGGTAGGCTCAGAGGCACCCCAGGGGGAACCTGTCACAGTTCCATTGGACCTGCAGTTACTGAATCGCTAATTAGTGCCCCAAAATGGTTATTTAGACCAGTGGTTCTCAACCAGGAGTACATGTACCCCTGGGGGTATGCAGAGGTCTTCCATGGGGTACATCAGCTCATCTAGATATTTGCCTAGTTTTACAACCGACTACGTAAAAAAGCACTAGCGAAGTCAGTGCAAACTAAAATTTCATACAATTACTTGTTTATATTACTCTATATACTATACACTAAAATGTAAGTATGATATTTAAAAATGAGAAAGCAATTTTTCAGTAATAGTGTGATGTGCCACTTTAGTATTTTTATGTCTGATTTTGTAAGCAAGTAGTTTTTAAGGGAGGTAAAACTTGGGGTATGCAAGACTAATCAGATTCCTGAAAGGGGTACAGTAGTCTGGAAAGGTTGAGAGTCACTGATTTAGACAATCAGCTAGCATTAAGTGAAAATGATTGCAAATGCCAGGCACAAAAAAAGAAGTCAATTGAACCCATTTTGAAACTGTCCCATAATGTCTTCATTGCTGAAAGACCACCATGATACTCCCAATAGCTGTCAGATCATCATAAAATCATAGAATATCAGGGTTGGAAGGACCTCAGGAGGTCATCTAGTCCAACCCCCTGCTCAAAGCAGGACCAATCCCCAACTAAATCATCCCAGCCAGGGCTTTGTCAAGCCTGACCTTAAAAATCTCTAAGAAAGGAGATTCCACCACCTCCCTAGGTAACGCATTCCAGTGCTTCACCACCCGCCTAGTGAAAAAGTTATATCCAACCTAAACCTCCCCCACTGCAACTTGAGACTATTACTCCTTGTTCTGTCATCTGCTACCACTGAGAACAGTCTAGATCCATTCTCTTTGGAACCCACTTTCAGG